ATGAGAGGCCTTCATTTATTACACCTATCGGCAAACTTTACAAAATTGACAGCTTAATGATTTGTTCATAACTCTGCCAATGGCCCTTTAATTAATGTTAGAGCTATTTCGCTTCTCAACCTCTAATGGTAATTAGAAAAGTTCTATGCATTGGATTATTTAGAGGCAGGAAAGTTATTTGGACAAATTATGTGGCTGCCTGGCTTCGATACGGTAATGGATACAAGTCTGCAAACAAAGTTATGTTAAAGATACTGAAGTATTTCGATAGATTAAGGGTGGGGTGGATAATGTAATTGTGTTTCATTCAATTTGTTCATGATTGGCAGGCGTTTGGGAGTATACGCGAACCATATGTAAGAGCATAGATGACTAGAAGTCCTTTTTACTGCCCCGCCTTGTATATCCACAAACGAAAATCATCTTTAGGGCAGAATCATCGAAGAATAAGCCTTAAGGAAGGCGAAGTCAAGCGAAGGGACTTACAATACAATACTTCTATAAAGCTGTCGCTAAAGACCAAAGACTATACGAAACCAAGATGTTGCTTGAGGGACCAGGTACATCTGTTCTATATCTTGATGCCCCGTAAGGGACTTTGGCAAGGCTCAGAAAGAAAGGCTCTAAATTTCGGTCCAAAAAATCCATCAACAAATACACTTCTTCCACCGAATAAATTTCTACTGTAACGGATCAAAAACTAATGTTTTGTTTGCAAAATTTTGTTTTACTTTCTATTCGAGCATTTAAGTCCACCTAATAGTATAAGAACTCTGTCAGTCTATTTCGATCAGATCTGAAATATATTAAGCTGTGTAAAATATATCCCAAATATGTGAGTGTTGAATAGCAACAGCTTAAGAAATATATATGACTAAGTTCACAAGAGTTTAAGTCATCTTTTATTCTCATACACAGCAACTATGCCCTCGCTACATAAATGTCTAGATGTCAATGTCCCAACAAAGCTGTCAAACACAGCACAATCTACTCATTCCCACAACTGTCTCTTTATTACCCCAACAACAGCCCAAATTGACCAAGGCTTCAATCACATGCATATTTAAGCCAAGTTTTCCATCGCAATTATATAATTTAGTATGCCAATCTGCCATTTTGTTTGACTTCTATCGACATAAATATTGTATAATGTGTGTGAGGAGAGAGGAGGGAAGTTATGTAAACGAATTTCACACTCTCACCTCATTGCATTTCAATGCCAAGAACTAAGAGCTCTGGCCAGGGGCAGAGCAACATCAATTTGCCATTTCATCAATTAAATATGCTGACAGCCTTCAATTATTTATTAAGAAGAAACAATGGAAAGAAGCAGTGGAAGAAGTGGCAAAGAAAGTCAAAAAAATAAAATGGTGAGAAAATATATATGTATATATATCTATATATGTACAGTGAAGGTTCTTTTAAAACAGACTAAGAATCAAAACTATAGAACTACATTTAGAACAATTCCGTGTGATGGCAGTGTCCTTCAGTGTACGAGTATATCTACTTTCCCAAGCCACGGGATATATACTCGCATAAATAATGATCCAAGGAGTAACACTGGGATTCAGAAATGACTCCATTCAAAGGAAGATCGCCAATAGAACCTTTAAGCAAGTAAATATGTACCTATCTCACACTTAATTTAAGAGAGAGAGAGAGATGATAGGAGTTTGTGCTGATTGGGGCTCAATACCTGTTCCTTTTCATATCGGCTAGTGGCTTGTATCTCTTGTAAAGGGTTTCATTAGAAATGGTCGCAGATACATACATACAAAAAGTGGTACACATCAAGAAACCAGATATTTTTTCCGCTTAAAAGAATATTCTTTTACATGCAATCACTTTCCGCATTCCATATATTTTAAGGGAATGTTGCATATACTTTATAGATCTAACCGTATAGAGTGCTTGAACTGCAATCTAGGATCTACATTGCATACCCATTTCCATTGGTGGTCCCCGCTCAAAGGCTTCACTGTATTCAATCTGTGTTTGTGCCTGTTTTAACGGTTGTGTGATTGTGTGTTTGTGCGGGTAGAAATTACTTTTCAGAAAATTATCATCAACAGAGGACACACACGAGCAGCGACTATCTTATATGGGGGAAATTCAATTTGATGCACATCAACATGATGCTGCCACTGCCACACTGCCAGTGCCACCGATGCAGTTTCTGTTGCTGCTGCTGCTGTTGCTGATGTCACTGATGTCACTCGCCCGACTCATTAAGTATTAATTGTAAATTTTAATTAAAATAAACCGAAACGATTACGGACACAACGGTTGGTCTCGGGGAAAACTTTCTGGCACTGATGGCCAGGCCAGGTAATAATGTTTACTGATTTTATACCAGCACAAACCAATATGGTACCACCCTCGTTTCCCACACATACGTGTATATACATATATATATTATACCACATACCTATAAAAACCCCCATTAATTGCCACAGGAAAAGACGTGCCTGCGAAAGTAAAAATAATCATAAATAATGAAAGATTGCCATTGCAACTGCAGTCGAAATTGCAACTGCCGCACGAAGCGGAAACGGAAACAGAGGCTGACATCTTTTGCCATTCGATGCTGGCTTTGATCAGTGGGTTAACTTATTTGCTTAATGGCAGGTGGTGGTGCTGCACGGCAGGTGGCGGATTGTGGGGCAGGTGTAAATATCCACTTTTAAGTGATTGTTGCCGCAGCAGATTAATTTCATATACATTTCATGGTGGGTAAAAATGTTGCAGTGTCTGAACAGGAACCCGACATGTGCTTTTCTGCAATGGATGGTACCTTTTTTTGTGGAAGAAGAGTGTGGTTGGGTAGGATTTTAACGTTGTGAGAAATTTATCAGAAGTGGAAAAGGAAAATTGTTGCCTAATAAATTTAAAAACCAATCACATATTCTAGCTTGAAATTAATAAAAGTGTCCTATAAATATGCATTTTGTAAGAAGAAGGTATCACCTTTTTCGAGATCAATTATTTTCACTTTCAATAATCTATTGAAATGATCACCCATGATCACGTTTTTAATCATAGGTTCCTTTAATTGCTTCTTTGAAATGATTGTTTTTGGTAAGAGATAGATCTAGTACTTATTCCAAAATCTCCAATACGATCAAAGTACTTTATGGATCAGAATTTTCTCCAAGGAAATAACTATTTTGATTGCTATTATTTTAAAATTGTGCTAAAGATCTGAATATAAGCATCGGAAAGGGGTACAGAGGTGTACTAAAGGAGAACAGAACTCCCTAGAAAAGCCCATAGCCCAAGTGTTCCCTTAAAACAATTTTTACCCACAAAACTTTGAATCAAAAGCACATCAATCTTAAAGCAGCCCCAAGCAAGACCTGAAAATTGCCTATAAACTGTGTATTAATAATCTGCCTCGGTGCAGGACGGGCGTGGCACTGTTGTCCTCAGTTCCGCAATGAATTCATACCAACACCGGCACACACAAAGAAAGAGCAATACTTGTGTGCAAACCGAATGAATTGTATTTATTTGTGCGCCATAATTTGCTTATTTTTGTTTCACGTTGTCACGTCTGCGGCCGGATTCGCATTGACCCGTAACAATTTTCCATATTTTTCGCTTTTACAACAGCCAGAGACAGAGTGTGAGAGGGCGGGAGGGCGAGAGGGAGGCGCAAAAAAAACTCATGCAGAAATAAAAGTTAAATAAAATACAATAAGTTATTACGGCCGATTGCGTTAATGATCATTTATAGCCGGGGTGAATCTGTGGGCTTATGTAAATGGATCCCCCTCTTCTGCATCCTGGTCCTGTATCGCTCAGTCATGTGATGTCCTGTTTGGGAGTCCCATCCGAGGCAGAGATTTATGCTTAAGTGATGTAAATGCTTTGCCATTTGACAGTTTATTGACTTTTATGAGTTAGTTTATTATGCTCTCTCTCTCGCTTTTTTTTATTGCCAAAAAGGGGGTAAGCCCACGGGCTGGATTCAAGAAACTTCCGTGTAATTGGGTGCGTGCCTCGAATAAGCAATGAGCCTACCATAATGTTCAAGGTTCTTAGGGGACGTCTTTTCCTTAATGTTTATGATCTGAAAATACTACGAGATTTGCGTTAATGAATATGATAAACATTTTCATGGCAATTGCTGTCAAAAGGGGGACACTAGATAAACATCTAAGGACACCTTGAGGAAATGAAAGCCAGGAAATTATTCATGAAATGTGTTGACAGTTCGGGTTGTTAAGTGAAATTTATAAAGAAGGGGAAGGTTTGGTTCCTTGTTTCAATTAATCAAGGAATCGTGGAAAAAGTTTTGGAAAGATAAAAAAGCTATAGCTATAGCAATAAATAACTATCAGAATATATGTGGATTAATGTATCTTATTCTTTTAGAAATATTTTTGTTTAATTTACACTGAAATTCGAAGAACATTGACTTACCTTGGCCCTCAATAAGTATAAGACCTTTCTTGTTTTCTTTAGACCTGCAAAAAACCCCCTCCATAAGACTCTTTTTTGCTAACCCAAGCCCCCAATCAAAGTCATTTTCATACACATTCAGTTGAATTTATTCTCATATTACTCATACGCACTGCTTACCGGCTAAACATTTCATTTCGGGGTTTTTTCCTTCGTCATTTTTTCGCATCTGTTTCTCATTTTTTTTCATTTCAATTAAGCTAATTTGAATCCATTTACTATTATTGATTTGCTTTGGTTTTTTATATGTTTTTTTGTGTGTTTTTTTATCAATAATTTGGACATTCATTCTTTCGGTTGTTTGTAAAATTCATCAAAGTTTTTTTGTTTCGGTTTACATAGTTTTATCGGTTTAGTTTTAGCTTGAACAACATTTATGTAGAGTTGGGCATTTTCATATTTAACTATAAGGTAAATTTGACAATGCATATGTATTGTATGTATCGTAAGGATTCGCCTCTCCATAAACATCGTTTTCCGCCTCCTTCATTTTCTTTCGTTAATATAATCGATTTTGTGGTTTTTCCCTCTTAAAAAACGTACAAAAAATGTGATTGATGAATGGAAAGTTGGCAGCAAAAATTGGCAATAGGCGGAACATATTCTCTATATATATTTATATAGCATAAAAAGCATTTTCTTTAATAATTCGTCGTACTTCTCTCGATTTTGGGCTAAGGTTTAGGTTTAGGTTTAGGTTTAAGTGAATTGCACACACAAAGTTCTATCACAGAAGATACAAAAAATAGGGAACTCAGCAGCAACATTAACAAGATCGGGTTCGGATTGGGGAATGGGATTGGGTATGGGCATTGGATTTGGTACAAGCTCTATGCATAAATCAAAGCAAGGATGAGTGCGTACACCGGATACGGGGACGGGTACCAGCTGCGAGCGGCGGCAGTGGCAAAGATCTTCACGCCACTCCAGTCACTGAGTCCGGCCAGATTTCGGGAGGCAGCGCGCATCAGATACGTGGTGTTCCCCTTCAGATGCGAAATGATGAAACGCTGGCCTGGAAAGGAATGGAATTTGAGGAGAAGAGGTATTACTCAGCCAGAAATTGGATTTATTTTATTTTTATGTTCTTCATGATGTCCAATCCTCTACCCTCTACCAACTCACCTCTATGAAATGAAAAATCCCGCTGTTTGGCATGGCTCCAGTTGCCGGCGCTGAACTTGAACTCGCCCTCGCTCATGTACGCCACCCGGTAGCCAAAGATCTGCATCTCATCGGAGACATTGGTCATGCGGGGCGTGCGCAGATCCAGCTCGAAGGCATCCGCAAAGAGGCGCTTCAGCTGGAAGCGTGTGGGCCCCATGGGCTTGGCCCCCGCCAACAGCTTGATCACACGCTCCAGGCTTCCCAGCGGGTTGGCCACCTTGCATTTGTAGTCCCCGAACTGGCTGTCATTCCGGATGTTCAGCTGCAGCGTGGCCCCATAGTCGGCCACGAAGATGCGATGATTGAAGCCCAGGATGCCCTTGCCGTTGTGCAGCCAGGTGAATGATGGCGGCGGTTCGCCCATGGCGTCGCAGCTGAGATTGACGGCGCCGCCCACATACGCGTACTGCACGAGCAGCGTCTCGTTATAGAACCAGTGGGGCTTATCTGCAAAGAGGAAAAGAGAGATGAGGCACAGCTGGTGTAAGTCCTAAGCTTTGCAGATAGAAAGGGAGGTGGGGGCGGGAAACGGCCTGGTTTCGTTTGCTCATGCCTGCCCACACACACACACACACACACACACACACACACACACACACACACGAATGGAGGGGGAAAGTCGCATAGATAGGGATAGTAGGTGCAGAGCTGTTGCACTTTGTCGTTGTCTCTGCTTAAATCCCCCAATGAGACCTCACTGACACCGCACATGGCACATCAGTTACACTTTTTTCTTTCTGTTTTAGCTTGTGCTCTGCGTCTGGTTAACTGTTAACCTATCTATGTATGGAGTACAGTGGAGTGGGAGTTGTAGAACTATCTCCAATTTTTGCTTTTTACTAGACTAAAACTTTGAATTAATTTCAAGTATGCAAATTACCAACCACAAATCGACGCCCTTTGGTCGCCTGAAGCAAAGATGCAAAGTGCAAGAAATCAAGGTTTATTTGAAGAAGGTGAGGCATTTCCTCAGACCGCTCTCCCGATTATTACAGATTTTATATTATTTGCGTTTTGTGTATGTACGATGCTGACTGATAGAAAGAGCGCGAGAGAGCAATATTCCAACATGCTACACCATCTAAAAAACACCGCTTAAAAATTACTTTAAAGAGCAGAGCGCACCTACTTTTTTTCACTCCTGCTAATAACAAGAACAAACAAGAGACGATATGTACGACCTTGAGCCCAGCACGAGGAAGAAAAAAAACCAAGAATCGATGCAAAGCAGCAGCAGCACTTTCGTCTCTTTTTTGCTCCCACACTCACGCTCCCTCACCTACTCCCATTGCATTCGTAAGCGGCAGCGGCCGGCGTGTCATTTTGCATTTACGATAAGCGGTACTTAGTGAATGGCAAAAAAAAGCAAGAAATTACGGAAGCTTAGGAATATTTCCCAAGTGGAGCATTTAATGTCGTTTTAAGCTAAATAAAATTCCATATAAAATGTTTTAGTAGGCAAACTTAATACCGGTGTTCGTCAAAGCTAGTAAGAGCCCTGCTAGAACTGTGCATTGACATACCCATACATTTATTGAGCTCCCTTTCAATATGTACACCACTGTACATATTGCGATACCCTCTGCAACCTCTGGGGACACCTCCACCCTAAGCCCGATGCTCCATTGAAGCGTAAACTAATAGCACATTTTAGCATTTCGTCGTCGTCCTTTTCGTCCTTGTCGTTGTCGTTGTCGTCGCCACTGCGGCTCATTGAAGTTTATTGCTGAGGAAATGCAAACCTATATATTGCAGCATTTCATCTGTTCATCCGTTACGGTTCCTTCTCCATCTTCCATCTCCTCCTGTCCCCACTGCAGCTTCTGTTCTGATGGTCCTAGTCCTCATCTCCTGCTCCTTCCCTACCTCACGATCCATTGCTGTAGCTAGTGGGCTGCAAATTAGTTTCGGTTTCCATTCGTTTGGTGTTTACTTTTCAGCGCCAGCTGGGCACACTGCAATGATTTGAGGGCTGATGGCAACTCTGGACCGACCCACCGTTTTGGAGGTCCAATTTGGGTGCTGCTGCTGCTGCTTCTGGCTTGTGCAAACCTTCGTCCTGCAGTCATTAGTAAAATTCTGACGGCAACTCAATTGGAGAGAGGCGTTTTTGGGTAGAATCAGGGGCATGTGTATTTGGGGCACTGGGGAGTGTTAACTCAAGCCCCCCCAATGGAGTGGAGTTGACTGAGCTTCTATTTGGTTTGCCTGGTGTTGGTTGCTTTATGAAGTCAAATGTACATACATATGTTTCGATATTGATGGGGGCACTTTGGATTGAACTCTGCTCCCTGGCTATGTCAGCAATATTAATGAGTCTCAAGAGAGGGCTTTCGTTGTTTTTTTGTTTGGGTACACAAGCAAGAATTTATTGGGTACGAATGCATAAACTATGTTTCCTATGTTTGAGTAATCGGTGTGCCCTTTGACTTGGTTTATGTTCGATTGACCGGTAGCTCAGGATTAACTTTTCCTGTCACTGCAACATCACTTACATTCTCAGCTTTCCCCTTTATGTCCCTCTGTGTCCACTTAATCAATTCGCTTGATAACTTCTTTGCCTCATTATTTGTTATATACTCCCAATTTCACAATTATCTTTGTTTCCCCAAAGCCAATTACGGACAGCTTCCAAGTAATATGTTCATTAGAAAATTTGCATCAATAATTTGCATTTTCCTGCCACTTGACCCTGACATGCGGAAGGAGATTCGCTGCCTGTCTTTGTCTCTCCCTACATCTCTCTCAGAAGCGTGTAGGGTCTCAGAAGCAGCTTGAAATCTCATTATAGCCAACGAAGCATGTTCCACTCCCCAGAGAGGGAAAGCGAGGGGAAAAGGACCAGGATGCCACAGGGGAAAGTGCAGCTTAAATAACTTTAAGCTGCTATCAGCAAAAGATTTTGTTGCAAAGTCTAAGCTCAATTTTCAGCTTTCAAAGGGGGGACGACACAGAGAGAGTCCACACAGTGGGGGGCGGGATGGGAAATGCAATTGCCAACAAGTGGGGGGTACAAAATAAATTCTAGATTAAATATTATCAAGTGTGGCACGTAGCAGGAATTCTCGGGGGCAGGACTGCAAGTGGGTGTGTCTGTATGTGCTGCAATCTGAGCTTACCAAAAAAATAGCAGGAAGAGAACTAGGGACATGGGTATCCATGTCCGTGTCCCTTCGCTCATTGTACTTACGTTGTATCCTTAGCAATATCGTTATTTGATCGGAATCCGAAAAAGTTGGTGTTATACGCATGGCACGACACGTATACTCCCCGGCATCCGCCTGGCTGACATTCCTGATGTACAGACCGTTCGACAGGCGATTGTGCTTCGACGAGTTCACAGCTGATAGAAAAAAGGGTTCGGATGGGGGATAGGGAAATAGTTGCATAGTTAACAAGTTTGCCATGCCACGTGGGGGGAGGAGAAAGTGGTGGGTATACTCACTGTTTATGTATTCGCCATTGTAGAGCCAAGAGACTTCCGGTGCTGGCATACCCTCCACGAAGCAATTGACCATCGCGTCGCGTCCTTCGCGCACCGACTGCACTTGTTCCGTTTTGCCAAATGAGATTTTCTCTAGTGGGGGTTCACAAATGGCAAGGAAGAAGGAAATACGTTGGTCAAATTACTCAGTAAATATTGTACATTGGGTCATGACATCCTGTACATATCTACATCTGTCTGTATGGACACTTTGATTTCTTTGCTGTTTACATGGTATCTTTCTTGATTGGTAAGTTGACACACATTTGTGCAAAAGTACGTTAACTTGGGGTGATATTTAGAATAGAGCTAATGCAGAGCACTATTTAATGTTGAAAGCAGTCAGTCCAATATTGAAATGAAAGTTTGTTCTAGGAGGACCTACTTGAGGACCTGTTTTGAGAAGCTTTTCTCTCTATCTAAATAGTTTAAAAAGAAAATTAGCTCTAGAACATAACTAGCGGTCTTGGTTCTCGTCTTTCTCTATATGTGTTTCACATCTCTTATCACAATTAAATAAATAGATAACAAACTTTAAGCTTGTATAATAAATTACTGAAAAATATCTAGTTGTTGAAAACTGGGACTCCCAATTAGACGGGCTTTAAAAAAAACCTTCTCGAGGTAAGTCGGTTTTGTTTTGGTCAAGACTAGAGGCCCAGGAATTTCACAGAGATGCGTTGTATCAGTTTTCGGAACTTAAAATTAATTTGTATTTATTTGAAACATTTTTTGTTATTCCAAGCCAAGTTAAAGACTTTCTATGCAAACAGGTTTGGCAACAATTTTTATGACTTTCATTTTTCCCCTCTTTTTTTTGTACGAAAGTCTGGAGCCAACTTACGATTTACGAGAAGTTCAAAGGAGGAAAAGAACTCGCGCTCGGTATTCACATTCCGATTCTGGTTCCCATTTCCATAGCCATTCACCTCGCAGGTCCAGTTGCCCCTGTCGTCCAACGAGATGTGCTCAAAGACCAGAGCCAGCAGACCTAGAAAAAGATGGAAGAGGAATGTAACTCCCATCCAATGGATATAGTATCCACTGAGAGGATGAGCGGAGGACTATTACCCGTCTTCTTTTCGATGTGCACTCGACCCTTGGTGTTCTCACGGGTTTGGCCGCGGGGATCACGCCACTTGGTGTCGATATCCTTTTGTACTGTCTGGCAGAAGATGATGAAGGAGTCATTTACAAAATGCGTTATTGATGGCGTCGATGGCTGCAGCCTCAACGGAGGCGAAGACGAGACGGGGGATGCGTTGCCTTCCAGATGTCCAAGGATTGCAGCTGCAATTGGAGAGAAAAAGAGAAAATTTTTGCATGAAATTTATCACTTTTTCCGCGAGCTGAAAGCTTGGATGGCAGGGCTAAGGAGTAAGCCTGTCAGGCAGGAGTTGGCGGTAGATGAGGTCAAAGGAATGGACCTAGATGGTAGTTCTGCTCATAAAAAATAATCATAATTCATATGGACAGCCAGTAGGTTTTTTATTTCATTTTTCCACAGTACTTTATCGTATCGTTATTCGTTTTTCCTTTTATTTCACTGGATTTAATTAGCTTTTCATTCGCCTCCGCCTCTGCCTCCATTGAATGCATGAATCTCTAAATAGAGAGTATATTCCTTGTGAAATATTCAAGCATCTGATTAACCCCTCTACCCCTTCAAACCCCTTTCAACTTTGTGTTGCATTTTTAATAGAAATTCCTTTGCTGCAGTCTCGCGTTCTGTTTTTTATGGAGAGAGAGAAAGACAAATTGACGAGCAAGGAAAGAAATACTGATTTTTTAAATTATAAAAACAAGAAAATTACAATATGAATTATCAAAAGTAGGAAAAACTATCAAAAAAAAATATATTGTGCATCATTTGATTGACGAATCACATAAAAATGAATTTAAATAAATTAAATCAAACTTACAAATTGTATAAAAGATGTACACGGACAAAAAAATACATGCTATAGAATATGGAAATATGCAACAAAAAAATGTTTAAATTTGTATTCTATTTGCATTGATTAAATGTTGTTTGTGCAAACACTCGGGGAAACGGGAATACAATTTTGAACAGATTCTTGCAGCGCAAAAACTCCTTGAAATCGGATTAAACTATTAGTATTTGTATATCTTTTAAAAAAGGTACGAGATATCTGATGCTTTTGGAACGTATGTATGTTATTGCCACATATTTATATGAAAGATATTATTCTCTGTTAACCGATTAATAAGATTAACGTAATGTTTTTACTAGGCCTGATGTTTGAGGTGAAGATTTGAAACATTTAGTACCAATGTATTAGACTTCCACTGAACGTGGAACTGCCAGGGTTACGACCTTCATTACGCCAAGGTAGCATTCGTTTCAGGTTTTATTTTTAATTTAATTATCAATTCACATCACCAATAAAGCCAAAATAGAAAAAAAAAAAAATATAGTGGAGCCAGTAAAACAGTAAAACTCATTTCAGCGTAATTTTTTGCGCACAGCAATAAATTTAGTTCACTTTTCTAAGTAATTTTTTGTAGTAAAGCATTTCATCGACATCCTTTTATTTTGTTATACCCAAAGGGACGCATTCCTGAATTCCCATCACGCGATATTTTTTCTTTTTTTTTATGGCCACCACGCCCATCCGGCTAACCTTTATCCGTTATTCCCCCGACTCTTCAGTAATGGGACTGACTAAAATTTCCGACAAACAATTTGAGAGGTTTTTTTGGTGCAGACAAAATTGAAAATAAATACCCAAAAACTATTTGCAAAAAAACAGGAGTACAAAAAAAGTTGTTCCCTTGTTTGCTTTCATTTTTGATATTTTATTTACATTATTTGTTTGCTGCTGTGTTTCTGATAGCTGGCGAAAATAATGATTGGTAATTGAATCTATTGGTAGCAGAGGAAAGCACAATATATTTGTTATTCAATCTGTAGGTTAGGTTAGTCAATGTATTATTCAAGCTAAAAGTTTTTCATGAAATTCTGGTTGAATTTTGCATAAAATAAAAGGGAAACGAAAGAACAGTTAGACATTTGAATAATTAAAATATGCTTTTTGATTATTGAAATATTCACGCAGTAGTTTTATGAACTTTTAAGAATTTTTTTTGGCGAGAAACATTTAACTAAAATTTGCATTTTGTCAGTCACAATTTCATAACAAAATAAAATTAATTTTCAAAAATATTTCAACGATGCTTAATCAAAGAACTTTAGCCAATTACTTTGAAAGATTTTTACTAATATCTAATGTCATTTCCGTCTTTGGCCTGTCCTGGCCAGGTCCAATGCTGCCATTCCACACCCTTCTCGAAAACCATCGAAAACACTTGGCCCAGAGAGTGAGGCAACAAATCCATCAAATTGAATTTAATAATATTTTATTTGAGTGGCAAAATGCTACGTACGTAATACGTATGTACATATGTGTGCGCAAAATGTTCGAGTAAATCCAATAAAAATTCAAATTCGCCTTTTAAAAATTTTGTAAGCAATACGCACACGTAACATATAATGTAGTATATATATATATGTATATATTTGATATATTCATATGTGTGTATCCACACATGCACATATAAACGGAGGTACAATTTCTGCAATTGGATTGTTAGGGCTGGGCTCCTTTGTGTGCTGCATATCAATCATCCTGAAGTCGCTGATAGTCTAAGGGAAGGTTGAGGTGCCGGAGCACTAGTACTGAAAGGTAATATCCTTTCAATTTGTTCTGCATCAGCATATTTTTTATGCGATTTTATATTGAATCCAATATTGTTACATTTTGTGTAATTTAGGTCTTGTAAAATGTAAGAAAATTGTAGCAGGAAGCATTTGCAGTACTTTTAGGATGTGTTTATTCTTCATCATCGTCTGCTATTTCCCAGCTATGTTCTGTCTGTAGCAACATTCTTTCTTTGCTATAATCCAGAAAAAGGAAAACAGGCTTCCATTATTGCCAAGATTAAAAGATTATTGCCTCTTTTTTAGTAATTTTTAGAGAGCTGATTACATTTTTCATGTTTCTTGGATGTCAATAAGATCCGTGATATAATTCAACATTCATTGCTAAACTATGGATATATATCTAGACTTTGTTGTTTCGTATGTAAGCCTATCCTCTTTTTATCATTCATTTCTATCCAATCTCTATAAATAGTTTTGTTCTACATAGAATGTCTTTACTTTGAGCTACTTGTTCTCTTTCTTTGCAACATTTCAAAGCTTGTCAAGTGACTTGAGATGGGTACTTACATCTTCTCCATCTACTTCCCCATACTTGACCCCATCTCCCACCACCTACTCTGCCTCTTACTTTCTTTATATTTGCCCATCCCCTCATTTTACAGTGTTCCCTTTGGTCTAATGAATTCCCACATCTTTGCCATCTTTGCCATCATTTGCGTTTCATCTTCAAGGGGCCTCGTGGCCATGGGCTAATGTGGGTTAAGGTTGCCTCAACACGCCCTATCTTGCCGCACATGGGTTGCTTAGTATCACTCACGTTTCCCCTCCACTATAATGTTCCAGTCCATACTTTTAGGCGGTGCATGGGGCGTATGTGTAATATTTTCTTGCCACATTGCAAACAATATATTCCTCTTCGGGTGTTTTGCTGCAGAGACAACAGAAGTTTTCCGCAAAAAACAACAAAAAAATGCCCATAAAGAAAGAAATGTTTCTCTCTGAGTGCTTAATTCCACTAGATTTGAACACGAGAACAGAGATTTGAAAAGCGAGAGAGAGAGAAACGAAGGAAACAAACATTTCTTTTAGTTGGATGAACATTTCACGCTAAAAAGTATACAACAAAAATAGTAGTAAAAATCATTGAAATAAAATTTCAAATGGTTTCAAATGGTATCGTACATTTTTTAATATTTTAAAGTATTTTTGTTAACTGTATTTAAATTACAAATAAAATAATCTTGATAATCTTTACACCACCTTTCTGGCATTGCTTTTTATCGCCTTTCTAGGCATCGTAAACTTTCATCCGATATCATTAAAGCCCCATCAAAGTAATCCACCCACGCCCACACCCACACACACCCCTAGCCACCCACAGGCAGCAACCTACTCGGCACAAAAGCAAAGCCAAAATTAACATGGCCAAAAGCAAAAGTTATGCCAAAACAAATGAACTCATTTGGCATTCATTTCATTTATGAAAACAGAACAAGAAAGAAAAAATTTATTGTGGAAAGAGAAACTTTGTGCCACAAAAGCAAGAGTTACGAGTACTTTTGCTTAAGGGGTAAACCACAGTATAGAATCCTTTCTTTTAAGGATGGAGGATGTAGGGTAGAGAGGGGGAGAACTGGGGCTGATCGGGGATTATCCTACCATTCTGTGAGAGGAGCAGCAGAAGCAGCGAGCAGACGACTATCAAAGTATCCATAGCTCCAGTAGTGGGTTATCCTTTATTCAGTTATAATCCTTAATCCTTAATGGTTAATGGTTGATGGTTAATTTCACTGAAATTGCTTTCTGTTGTAGATTTTTCTGAGTTTATTTCACTTGGACTTTCGTGTTATCCCTTCTTGAGAACCTTGGCAGTTAATTATGAGGCTGTTCACTTGAGGGATAATGGCACATGACTGCCGGGGCGACTCATGTGTCAACCGTGGCCGGAAAAGCGGCAACAACAACACTTTCACTTTGGCCAGGACAATGGCCAAGGCAATGGCATGACATCATCAGCCTCATGGGCATGGGCATGGGCATGGGCATGGCCAACATCATCATTCGCTTTTCGGCTGTTGTTTTTTTGTGGTTCTTTTGCTTCCGTTTATATATCTTTTTCTTAGGCACTGGCACTTGGGGAAACACTTGGATTCAGAGAGATGGGCAGGACACGCGGTGGGGGGCCGGTGGTGAACATTTCCGGTGACATATCCTGCGAACGACTTTCCCACGTTCAAATTCTCGCGCTCTACTTGGCGAACGGCCGTCGTCCAAGGCTGTGGCCTCGTCGCTGGGCATTCAGGCGATCCATTGCAGGCGGGCGACGGTATTCGACTGAAACTGCATTCGCACACGGAGGATACTCCCCGACAGGACTGGACTCGGGCTCTCAACGAAGTTCACGCGAGCGCGCTCGAGCGGGTTACTCCTTTTCTGGCCTTCTATTTCCTCTATTTCCAGCCGCGTTCACGTTCGAATCGTTGCGAAATCAGAAAATACACTGAAGTCATCGTGAGTCCTGTGGCATCCTTTTTGGCGTATCGCCAGGAAGTCGGCCGAAAAGGAAAAACTTCTTCTTGCACGCAACTTCGTGGGAATCGCAATGTTGGCACACTTTTCCGTCGTCCTCGGGGGAAACATTGTTGCCGGCGAGTGGGATGTTTAGACACAATTTCTAGTTCGAAATGTTGCAGGAGGACTTTTCAGGGGGAAGGATTTGTGGTGGAAAGCCTCTTTTTGTGTTAGGGGAAACAGAATGTGAAATAATTTTCACCGATTTGCTATAAAGGATGAAGTGAAGGATGATGAGCTTTCTTGGGTATAAATCTGTGTCCTACTTGGACAGGACCAAAGTTGATGTTTCGAACAGTGTATAACCCTGGTGTCCTATGTTATGGGAGAATATTAAGGCATACTTCCTATAAATATAAACAAAACCAAGTTTGGGCATTCAGAAGTTAGAAAAGTGAATACCTAGTATAAAAATTTATCTGAAAAAATTGTAGTATAACCTCTCAATCCCTTAACCAAAGAAACTCATAAATTCTCATGCAAAAGCTTTTATTTATTCAATCGGGAATCGTTCACATCAACCATAGTAGACGTAGGGCGAGGCATAGCCCACAGCGGGATAGCCAGCCGAGTAGACAAACTGGGGCACCGGTGCCGGATTGGGGCCCGGCGCAGGGGCAGGCACAGCGAGGACAACAGCCAGCAGAGCGGCGAGCAACAGGAATACCTGAGGAATATATGGGAAACACTTGGGTATCAAAGGGAATGGTAGGCCTTTGGCAAACACTCACCAGCTTCAGCATGATGGAAAGAGTTAATTCTACGACTTGACAAACAGAATCGAACTGCACTCGATGTTTGCTCGATTGCAGCCTTTTATATTCGGATAACAAACATTGCGGAATAAAGAAAGGGAAGAGGGTCACCGAGGAAGGGAGGGAGTCTAAGCAGCTTTATTGTAGTGCTGCTGTCATCACACTGCTGACTGCATCGGGAGAACCGGGGGACCCGTTCCCACATTTTGTTATTCCATTTGCATTCGTTGGCCAAGTTTATGGCTCATTATCGGGCTTAACGCGCTCGGTTCGCCTAATGCCTGCCAAATGCGAATACAAAGAACATTATTGTTTCTTAATCTGTTTGCCCACTATATGCCGTTGACGACATCGTCACTACCATCATCATCATCAGCAGCAGCTAGCATCCTCCTCCACTCACTTCCTCCCATCCTCCATACTCCTCCAAAGAGTGTCGCTCTTTATTTTGACTCTTTTTTACTGTATTCTTTTGGTTTGGCTCTTCGTCACGGGTAAACATTTGGCTTTGTTTTGGTTGAATTCGATTGATTTGGGAGTTGAAATGTACATGATTTTGCAGTTTTTATGTGATACACTTTGGGGGCACGAAGGCGATGATATAAGAGGATTTGTTTTGGCAATACGAATGGAAGAGAACTTGAAAGTATTATTCTAAACAATGAAATGTGAAGTACTTATTATAGAAAGTTCTTTATTTATAAAAAGAGTATAAGAATGTTAAGATGAGAATATCATCCTTCTAATGAAATGATAAAGAAAAAGTGCGCTACCCTTATATTCTAAGATCGAATGAAAAATGATTTGACTTCAAATATTTTAGAGATGTAGGGCCTCTTGAAAACGTTTTAACTGAAAACTTGAGTGTAATTCCCTTCTTAATCAGTTAAATTATTGTATGGACATTGAATTTTTTCAATATTTCGCCCACAATATTTCTGCGCAATTGATTGTAATTGAATTTGAGTCGCCAAATACTTGAAATTTTGTTAAGAACCAATACGAGTACACCCGACAATGTCTGGAGATCATTAATCACCTGAATAGAAGCCAAAAGTGGCGACAAGCAATCCCCAATTAAAATGCACTGAGCGTAGCTCGCAAAAATTCTACTATCTCACTGTGCTGAAATCACGATACATTGAAGGCCAGTTCTATAACCGAGAGTGATTCCATCGCCGGAGATCGACAAAGAATAAGAAGTCATTAGAATGCGAAGGGAAATTGGTGTTCTCGTCTGTCAAAAACTATCAAAATAGAATCAAAATACAAATACAAATACAAAACGAAAACGAAAACTATTGCGGAATGATGTGAGCAAAACAGAAATGGCCATAAATCCCATACAGTGCTTCCAGAAGTGCGACATCATAAATAAGTCATGAGTGTGACAAATTCGGGGACTGGGAGATAGCTACGAGTATATAAGACCCGTGAGTGGGCTTCAACAGCATCAAACCACAAAGTGCAATCGCTTCAGTAGCATCAGAAACCAGAAGGAAAATCAATTCAAGCAAAATGTTCAAGCTGGTAAGTTTTAGAACGGTTGAGGACCTATCCTCAGGAAAGGACTTCAGAACTAAATGCGAATTCCCAACCCATATCTATATCTAATACCATATTCCACCATATCTGTTCACAGCTGGTCGTTGTCTTCGCCGCCCTCTTTGCCGCTGCCCTGGCCGTGCCTGCTCCTGCACCACTGCCACGCGCCGCACCAGCCCCCATTCCCGTTGCCAGTCCGGAGCCCGCACCCCAGTTCTACTACGGAGCCAGTCCCTACGCCTACTCCGGCGGCTATTATGCTGCCTCCCCCTACTCGTACTACGGCTAAGTGCTGTGGCTTAACCCGTGGATTGGATGGCTAACAAACACCCGCACAACTGGTCGGCGATTCGTGATAATGGACTTGATAATGGACTTTGGAATTTGAGCTAATTAAGTTTTTCTCTTCAGTCATAAAAGCTTTTCAAAAAAGCGCACAAAAAAAATGATGAACAAATAAAAATGTTGCAAAATTGATTTTTGATGACAATTTCGTTTTGGTAGAATCGCGCTTCTGCTTTCGCTGTGGGTAACAAAAAGTAAGGCCCAGTGGAAATTGTGAATCAGTTTGGACGGCAGCATCGCAAATGGTTCCATGGTGTAATGGTTAGCACTCAGGACTCTGAATCCTGCGATCCGAGTTCAAATCTCGGTGGAACCTGAATTCTGCTTTACGGTATTTTTTATAGAAGTTCGAATGGAAATATTATGTGGTATGCATTTTTGATAAGCTACGAGTAATGTGTACTTTGACACTAAAAAAATATGTAAGGTATTTTTAAATGTATATTTATACTTTCTTTTGTGCATTATATTTTTATTATATTGAATATTTTCTATTGTTATGTATAAATACGTACAATTTCCAATTTTTGTTTCATTTCTATATGGAATGAAAAGATACAAAAATCAGTCTCTGTAAATTGGTAACTCAGCATTTTATATGCTCTATGAAGTATCTTTATGAGTTTTGTCCAACGATTGTTAGGTGGTTCCATGGTGTAATGGTTAGCACTCAGGACTCTGAATCCTGCGATCCGAGTTCAAATCTCGGTGGAACCTTGATATAAAATTTTCTTTATTTTAATTTTAGGTTTCTTAATTGTGTATTTCTGTAATTACATTTTACTTATAAGCTCCACTTTAAGTAAATTGATTTAAATTAATCTAAAACAAAATTAAAAAAGCTCGCTGACTCTTCTTGGTTTATGAACTGCCTAAATGGTTTATGTCTCTGGTGACAGCTTTTCATACCGCGGAAAATGTTGCGGTATGAAAAGCATTCAAATGAGGAAATGTTTTTCTTCCGGATAGAAAATAGTCATTAGTAATGTTTAAAATCAGTTCGGAAACAGAATATAAATTAGCTAACGGTAATAGAGTACAAAGAGGACCATACCACCGGTTGACAAGCAAAAAGTTTTTTTGTTTTTTGATCTTATTTGCTTAAACCTTATTTTAGACACAATCAAAGAAAAGGAAATGCTTAGAATAAGCCAGTCATATTGAAAATTATTTCATTAATCGGACAAAATTATTTATTCAGGTCTCAGGTTCCTTCCTAGCTAGTTAAATCAAATCGAATATCAAATCGACGAATTTGAGTTCCGATCATGGACAGAGAGCAATTAACCCGTTGTCGACCAGTGGGTATTCAGATACTCTTCACGAAAAATATATATCTTGAAGAATTTTAGCTCAGTTTAGGGTAGAGATATCGTGGTTTTTTTTATGCAACGATGAAGGATAGGATAGGATGCAGCTACAGGAGTAATTTGCAAACAGTACTCTTCGCGGTTTAACTCAAGTTTCTCACCTGTTTAAATAAATTTCTGTTCACCTTATCCCGGTCATTTCTTTCGGTATATTTAAGGTATATTTTGAAAATGAGACGGTATATTTCTGGAAGTCGGACGGTATATTTTATGGATAAATCCGCTGCCACACTGGCAGCGTTGGATGCACTTTTGCAACCGTTTTTGTGCTATTTTTTGTGCAAAAATAATAAATAAAATATTCAGTGTAAGAATAGAACAACACTTGAGATTAAATGAAACAGAATACAGTTGAAATCGGCTTGAAATAATGCTCGCGTTGTTTTCGTGTGTGGCCTGTGGTGCTGTTGCTTCCACCTGCAACTCAGCTGGCAGCGATGTCAAAGTGCGCGCATTAAATATTTAGAAAGAGACAGCTGCGTAGCTCTCCCATGCATTTATCAGGTCTACCTTCCGAACTTTGATTATGTGGAAACGCTCGCTCAAAGTCATAGTAGCCCTCGTCTTGAGCTTGATGTTCACCGTCTCCCTAGTGAAGATTGTTCTATTGATCTGGACATCGTATCCCGCCTGGCTGCAACGCTACACCGACGCCGAGCGCCCTTTGCCCACCGTTGAGGAATGGCTGGATTCGGAGCAATTGTCAGCCTACAAAAAGTTATTTCGCGATAAAGGTGAGTCTTGTAATGCAATCCCTTGTATTGAGTTTACGGTTGCAGATGTCGGGGCATTGGCATTCCGCCTTATCGTAGGTTCAGCTGTGAATTGTTGCGATTTGGGTTTCTTTTGTTGATATTTATTATTTGTTTGTATCACACTCATTGTATCAACCTCTCTCACTCTTACACTCAGCAAGTGCTTGCGCTCTCACGTGTCAAATGTTTATGTTTGTGTGTGTGTGAGATATTTTTTGTAGTTTGAAAGCTCTCTAAAGCTGAATTTTGATGTGCTTTCAACACGTGCTGCAGTAAATAATCTGTAGAGAAGGAAAAATTTAAAAATTTAGTAACACGAAAATTCAACTAAATGCACTGGAAGCAAAATTAGAAAAAATACAATAAAATCGAGTTGAAAGAGAAAAAAAAGATTTTCAGAAATCAAGGTTCCACCGAGATTTGAACTCGGATCGCAGGATTCAGAGTCCTGAGTGCTAACCATTACACCATGGAACCTCTCTGAACGCCGTGCAACACCATTAGCGGTAAAAGCCGTACAAAGATGATCTTCTATTAAATTTATCTTTAAATCAAATAATATTAACAACAAAAATACATACCAATATAAAAACAGAATTCATCGTATTAACAGAAATACTATTAAAAAAGATAATTTCACTTCAGGTTCTACCGAGATTTGAACTCGGATCGCAGGATTCAGAGTCCTGAGTGCTAACCATTACACCATAGAACCGCTTTGAACAAGCATCGCTTAGAGGCAGTTTTCTAGTCAAGCGATGACCCGCTCTGACACCACAGATCGTAGAAGAGAAAGTTGATCAACAATTTTAGGGCTATTAATAAAAACCTGATCTATTGTTATTATTTGGTTCCCTCGCAGGTAAACAAGAGACAAATATAAAACAATTTGTTGCTATTGCTAGGGCTGCATAAGTTAATATTCCATACATTTTATGAGATTTAACTCGCTTCATTACGTGCTGAACTTTTCGTAAAAATTACACACGCTAATTAAGCACATGGTGCCCTGAATAATTGTAATGTAAGTTTAATAAAGGGCGCCAAACAAAAAAACAACCTGCTGGAATATATACTCCGAGAGAGAGAGCAGCCCCAGGACGTAGCAAAAGCTTTTTCTTTACTCCGAATCGGGTCTTCGGCTCCTGAATCCCCCGAAAGTTTTCTGTGTCAGAGACTCAGCAGCCAGTCGCAGGCCTCGCGTCTTTTTCGGACTCGTGCCTGACTAGGGTTTCGGTATAAAATCAATCGTAAGTGTCCTTAAATGCTCAGTTTTGGTTTTCCTGTGAAGCACGCTGGGTTCACTCCACGTGCTCGCGTTTTCCCCCCGTTTTTCTTTGGTACCAAGCAAAAAATAAATCTCACAACAAAACTTATAATTAAAATACTAGCAGAAAAAAAAAATAATAAAAACTGTAATAGACGCTGAAAGTTCTTACTTTTTGTGTTAGTTTCCATCGCGTTTTCTAAGTTCGTCTCTTGTTTTAATCGAAGTAAACGTTGTCAAAACATTTCGTGACACCGAGGACAATAAAGCCCAGAAACAATACCCAAAAGAGACACACGAAAAAGGAAAAATAAAACGTTTTTGGGGTAGCCCTAACCTACTTATTTCGGTTAGCACGTGTTCCCAAACTCTCATACTCGCCCATCACATAATCCTGCGATAGATATCCCAGCCGGTTCCACTCAAAGCTAATGATGCATGGCTAATCCTTATAATACGCGTTACGGGTAAATGAATGCTGGAAGAAAGCAAATTTCGCGCCGTACAATTTTCCACATTTTGGCATATTAATTTTTTATTGTTGGCGGGCGGTGGGAGAGGCTGGAGAGAAGTACGGCGGCGGATGCCCCATTGGGGTGTTCACACTTCAATGCGCAGTTATTTTATAGGCCTTAGCACTCCCGAAGACCCCCATAGACCCCATCTGTTCTGTTCTGTTCGGCTCGTGTGTTCCATTATCCTATCTAAATAAACTGACTCATCCGCAGTGTGTGTGTGTGTGTGTGTGTTAGTGTGTGTGTGATTCTACATGTTTGTTTTTCTGTTATAATGTTAAATGTCACTCGATGTTGGGGTTTCGGCCTGGTCGCATCGGTGTCCGCTCATAAAGAATTAATTGCCAATTAATTTTGATGACACTCTTCTCTTCTCTTTTCTCTCCATTTTCGCACTTGACCGTGTCCAGGTCCGTGTCCACTTGAATTCTGGTTGTCGTACTCCTTTCCCGAGACCCCCCAACACACGCGCTTAACCTTTAAATCGCATTTACTTTTGACCTGCATATTAATTAATGGGTTAACAGCACGACATCCCGAAAAAAGGGTTCTTCTGTGGTCAATTATGCATTAAGTGGCATTTTGGGGAATGAATCGTAATTGTATAATATATGCATGTACATTTATATAAAAGTGTAGGCGGTAACAGCTCAAGAAGACGTTGCTTTGGCCCGTTCTTACATAATATTGCAGAAAAAAACAATAGGAGAAGACTACCCTTTGTAGGTTGTCGGAATCTTTTGAGTTGGTGGAACATTTTCCTGGATTTTGTGGGATGTATTCGAGTTTTATTCGAATTTATAGTAATTGTATACTTCTCCGATAAATTTTTCCCATTTATATAAAAATTTCTTTAAATGAAAGAACAAATTTCTTTTAATTCTGGCATAACCTGAACGAAAATATAGACTCTTTGTCATGGAGTATCCAAATTAATATGGTGAATCCATTCGAACTTCGGTACAACGCAACACAGAAAAAATTTTGACAATAAGAAATCTAAACTTCTCTTCCCTTCTTGTGTCATATAGCTGAAATAACACCCTCAATGGTGAGATCAGATCTATAAATAAAAGTAGAGTCGCTGAGAAAATATCAGATATACAAATATATGTAGCTTAAAAATAAAAAAAGATAACGTTAAGGTTCCACCGAGATTTGAACTCGGATCGCAGGATTCAGAGTCCTGAGTGCTAACCATTACACCATGGAACCCACTGGGCGAGGGCCATCAAAGAGCTCTGTTCGATTTCCAATGAAAGATCATAGCTAGATCACGAAAACAAGAAGACAAGAGAGGCCCCAACAAGAAAGAAGAAAACAATGAGAAGAAGCCACAAAAAGAAAGAAGAGAACAATGTAAAGCAACGCAAACATACGAATAAATATTTCCATAAAAACCAGAAATACTCGTCGGACATTTTTGCAGAGCCGACGAAATTACTCGAGCAATCAGCAATAAGGGGGTAGGGTGCGAAGAAGGGAAAAAGGGGGAGTGTAGCTATCAACAAAGGTATAAAGAGACGAAGAGCGGCCACCTTTATGGCCAGAGAAAGCGAGAGAGGAAGATACGCCATCCTGGTCGGAAGCATTTAGTTTGTGCGACAAAAAGAGGAAATAATTGTTTGGTAAACATTGACCAATGTCCGACACAAGAAGAAGCATATAGCAGGCCGGCGAAAGGAAAACAGAAAATATGTCCAACCTTTTTTCTGTGGGCTTTCCCTCCCCCCTCCTTTTCCTTCGATGCCTGCAAGGAAATTAAAAGGAAATTGCGCCTTGTTTTGTACGAGTGTGGTGGAGGTACGAGGGTTGGCTGGAGAGCAGTGGGTGGCTGGGTTGGCTTAGGTTTGGAGCACGGGGAGTGTGCGGCGGAGCAAATTAAAAGGTTTTTATGCCCAACTTGAGAGTCTGTGTGGGAAGGCTCAGAAGCAGTTAAAAATGACACAAGTGGCGAACGAGAGAGAGACAGGGACATGAAGCGACAAGAAACAACCGAAACCGTAGGAAAGCCTTTAGGGTATGAAGCGTTAGATACCCTGCAGGTTCCATATACTGTTACGCATTTCATAAATATACAGTGCATATGTATTTATGATAATATTTAGTCTTACTATCCACTTACAGCGGTATATTTTTCCTATCAGACGAGAATCATCATACCTTGTCTGCAAAGGGCATCCCACAAGCAGAGACAGCGACAGAGACAGCAGCAACAACGGTTACACATGTGCAAATAACAAGATGCCTCATTGTGTGTCATCCCTACCTACCTCCCATCCACCCTCTCACACTCATTCACTTACGTACTCTCTCTGCCTGCCTCTCGCAGCGCTCTCTCTCTCTCTCACACTCGCCGTGCTGTAACAGTTGCAACTGTTTTTGTTATGTAGGCCAAAGATGTCAGAGAACGGAAGCCTGACTGACTCTTGCTGCTGTCGCACTCACACACACACATCCCCATCCAGGCTCCCGCTGGCTCTTCTCTATTCCGCGCTCCGCTGCAGCTGTTTCTACTATGCACTGCTTTGCTTCTGCTGTCCCTCCGCTTCCCTCGTTCATCCGTTATGCGTGCTGCTTTGACGCCTGGCTGCGCTCTTTTGCGGTTAGTTATCATTATTGCCATCCCCCTCGACGGCGTTTTGTTCTCTATTCGCTATCCTTGTTCCTCTCTCGTCGCTGTTTCTGTCGCATTTGTCAGCCACAATTATTATAATGCAGCAGCCAAGTTTTTCTCTCTCGCTCCCCTGCTCCCTCTCTCTCTCTCTCACACTCGCCTCTCAATTGTACTCTCTTGCTTTTGGAAATTATCATATTGTTGGTGCCTTTTGTGGCGTCCTTGAATGGGCAAACAAAGCATATGGGGGAAAAGAAACATTTGCGCATTTCAACGCAAAAGATTATTTTCAACTTTTTGCATAACAACAACAGGCAAAAAACGTGAGCAGAGAGCAGCCAAGAAAAGGCGAATGAAAAACAGCATAGACTCGAGCTCGCAGAGGGATATGGTGAGAGGATACCCTGGAATGAACAGAAAAATAAGAACAAATGAGCGAAACAAGAGAATGGTGATGACTGACTTTAATGAAAGGCTTCGGTTGATTATACAAAAATTTCAGCATTCGGATGAGGGAAACGATGAACGATAATTTAATGTGATATAGGGTGCGATATACAGATAATACCTCTATAGAAAG